AAGTCCTTCTATTCTATGGAGTGTATCTGTATGCCTTTTTTATTTTCTTGAATTTTTTGAGGCAGGGCCTCAGTACATAGCCCAGGTGCTCTTAAACTCACAGCAATCCTCCAGCCTCAGCCTCCTACGTGCTGGGGTTACAGGTGTGCGCCCCCAAGCTGGCTTTGTCTGTCTGTTTTTGTTTCTGTTTACCAAACACAGTACTTTTTTGTACCAAGGATACAACTCAGGACCTTGTGCTTGCCAGGCAGGAGCTCATGCCACTGAGCTATCTCCCCAGCACCTACAAACAATATTTTTCATCCTATGTCTGTTTGCCAGGAAACTCTAGAACTATGATAAATAAAAATTGAACAGAAATTTTTACAGCCCATTGACAAGGAAAGGGAGAGCTGATGAAACCGCTGACTTCTGGATTGAGGACCACAGCCCTGATAAAACCGTCTCCCCTCGGAATTTTCCAGGTCCTTGAAGAGATGGGCTCCCTGAGGCTGCTGGAATTCCCTTCTTCTCCCAGATGGGCATCTTCCTAATGGGGTGTTTTTATTTATTTATCTTTATTTTTTTGGCGGAACCAGTGATTGAACTCAGGCCCTTGCGCTTGCCAGGGAAGCGCTTATTCCACTGAGCCATCTCCCCGGCCAAGGGGTGTTTTTATGGAGTCGACAGCTGTTAATTAGCTTTGCCAGGCGGTTGGGAGGAGGGATGGTCCTGAGCCCTTCTTGGCTAGCCGAGGTCTGAGCCTAAGCACGGGTTCTCCTGAGAGCTGAGGCAAAGATGTTTCCAGGGTGCCTGACCCCTGGAAGCACGAGTGTGTGTGCGCAGTGCCCAAGTGCTGCTTCCAGAACGGTTTGCTCGCCATCGCAGCTTCAATTCTCCGAGCCCTGGAATCATTTCTGTAGGAAACTGTGGTGACCCCAAAACCCCTGGGAGAGGTAGGTTTAGTCCACATGAAACACCCTGCAGAAAAAACACGCTCATGCTCACGCACATGCTTTTGTCCCCGGGCAAATGTATTATCAAGCACCCTGAAGCGGCACCCTGAGGGGACACCCTGAGGCGGCTGGAGAAGAGAAGAGCTGAGCTTGGCGTCTGCACAAACTGCCAAGAAAATGGAAAGGAGCCAGGCACGGGCCTGACATCCCGGCCGTGGGAGGCTGAGGCAGGTGGATTGCTGGGAGCTTGAACTCCGCCTGGGCCGCATAATGAGACCCTGTCTCAAGGAGGGGGGAGGGAGGAGGAGAATTGGAGAGGAATGCGGGATGAGGGTTTTAAAAGATGAGAAAAGAGAATGCAATAACAAAGCTGCTGAGGGTGCCAGTTGGGGCCCAGGGTACCCCCTGGGGCTGCACACCCCTGGCAGGCCCTGGGGCTCACCCCAAAGGCCCTGGGGTCTCCGAGCCCACTGCTGGCTTTGTAACATCACAGCAGGGGTCTGGGGAGCTAGGAGTCCTCTCTGCAATGACCCCTGTTCCCTGGGTTCTTGCCCTCACCCTGGCCAGGAATTCAAGGGTGCTGTGCGGCTGCCTCAAACCCAAAGATCCCCCAAGTGGAAAATAGAGAAGTGAGGTCTTGCAAGAGTGGTGAGGTCAGAGACAAAAGTCCTCGGAGCAGAGGTTTCTTCCTCAGATGATGAAGGCAGAGACAGCCGTCCAGCGCTGGGTGACAAGGCAGACAGGGGGAGTTGGAGTGAACTTCTCAACCTGGTGTCTGCTCTGGCTGTCGGTACAGGGCTGCTAGGCCTGTCAGGTCTGGGCTTTTGTTGCTGGGGTGAGCGTGGGATCTGGGGGACTTTCCAGTGACTGTGAGTGGGTCCCTAAAAATAACCGCTTTCCACCTGCAGAAGTTGCGCCAAGGGCAATTTCTAGTAACAGGTGTGGCGGATTGACGGCGGGGCGCAGCTTGCGACACCCAGCCGAGCCGAGCCAGTGTGGTGCTAGGCATGGGGGGACCTCCTGAGAAGGGCTGCTAAAAAGGAGAACCGGAGAGGGAGAGGTGGGGCTGCTCGGGGCCTTAGGCTCTCCTGGAGAAGCTTGTCATGCTGGCTTTCCTGGTCTGAAGGCAGCTGTTCTCATCGTTGGAGGAGCTCGGGGGTCTTCCAGAGCAGATCTGTGAGACGTCGTCACGGCTCTAGGTCTCCAGCTGGACTCATGCAGGACATCGCTGTGGGATCCCGGCCCTCGGCTGGACTCTGGGTCTTTTGCATGTGGACAGATTTCTCTTTGTGTATGACTCTGTTCAGGTGACTGCTATGAAATAATCCTGGAAATTGTGTGTCCTGTATTGTATTGTTTTCCTTGCAAACCCTGACTGCAACAGCAGGTGATCATTTCTGGAACCATCCGCCATGTCCGTTTCTAGAACCATCCACACTACATTGGCCATGCACACCAGTCACTTCACGTCCTACGCTAACCGTGTCCCTGACTGTCCCCACTGTTTCTATCTCCAAACAGCCAGCACCAGGCAGTTCCCAAGCTGTGGAAGGGTACTGGGCTCCTGTTCCCACAGCTGGGAAGTCTACGTGCACGGCATTGATTGGCTTCTACTTGGTCTCTGGTGAGAACCTTCTACAGGAGACCAGAACAGAGGGCCGGACCCCAGAGCCACACTACGGCAGCCAGCCGCGAGCTTGTGTCTCTGCCTCTTGCTGTATGGTTTGAATGTGACACACCCCCAACACTCATGCATTGAAATGTTCAGCGGGATAGCCATGGGGGTGGGGTGGTAGGCCCAGGAGGGTCCTAATCCCAGTGGAGTCATCCATTTATAGGTCATATCCGAGCAGGTTCTTCCTGGCAATAACTTGATGGGATTAGAGAGTCCAGGGGAGGGGAGCGCTGCACATGTGGGCATGTAGACCTCCTCTGTGGCCAGCCCATTGGTGGCTGAGTGGACTATGGGGGGCCGGTAGGAGGAAATGGGGCACAAGGCCACAGCCGTGAAGACCGTGTGTGGCCCCTGGCCCCTCCTCCCCGACTCTTCTCCCCCCCTGCTTTCTGGCTGCCAAGACTTGAACAGCTTTTCTCCATCTGGCCCTTCAATGGCCGGCCATGGACTGAGGCCTCCAGAACCACAAGCCAAGCCTCTGCATCGTCCTCCTCCTCCCCCTCTTCCCCTTCCCCTTGTCCTTCTTCTTCATTGCTATTTATTTATTTATTTATTTGTGTGTGTGTGTGTGTGTGTGTGTGTGTGTGTGTGTGTATGTGTGTGGCCAGCTCAGCCCACCAGGGGGCGGGGCTGGCTGGCATGTGGTGCTGGAGGATTGAACTGCGGTCCCTGTGCTTTGCTAAGCTTGTTCTAAGTAGGTGCTTTAGACCACTGAGCCATCTCCCCAGCCTTCTTCATTGTTTTTGAGACACACAGCCTTGCCGTGTAGTTTAGGCTGAGCTTGAGCTCACTAGAGAGCAAACCTAGAGAGGTTTGCTAGAGCAAACCTAGCAAAACCTGGAGAGGTTTTGCCAAATGATAGCTTCTCTTCGTATGGCTGCTGCGCCCACACACATTGCTGTGCTCAGTCCTTTCTTGCTTAAAATGTGAGCAATGGCCAGAGCTTGATGGCCCATATTGGTCACTATGGCACTCTGGGAGGCTGAGGCAGGAAGATTCCAAGTCCGAGCCTGGATGCTTTAGCGACATAAAGAGACACAGCCTCAAAAAAAAAAAAAAAAAAAAAAAAACACACACACACACAAAAAACAAAAATAAAAAGGGAAAAGGGTTGGGATATAGCTCAGGACAAAGGGCCTGGAATTAATCACCAGGACTGAGGGAAAAAGTAAGCAGAGGGGCTGGCAGAGACGCCCGTGCTCTGTGGGGAAGACAGCCAGGGTCTGCACAGGAAGAGCCCTGGAAGGAAGGGGATGGCAAGAACGGAGGCCAGCTCAGGGTCCTCAAGGCAGGTGCAGGTCCAAGGTGGGTCCTGCCTGGGCCGGTGAGAAGCAGACAGGGATAGTGGGGACTCAGGTTCCAGGAGAGGCCTCTGTAGGGTCGGCACAGCTGGACAACAAGGAGGCAGCAGTGGGCAGAGGGAGGAGAAGTTTGGTTACTCCGGGGCTGGGGCTCTGGAGCAGGCCACGGGGTTGGGTGGGGGCTGGAGGACTTCACACGCCCAGGCAGTGGGTGCTGGGTCTGCTTGGCTGCGCACCGTGAGCCACAGAGGAAGTTGCCCCTCCCCTAGACATCTGGGAGCACAGCAACTCATCTCAATCCTTGCTCCGTCTTTTTTTCTAGGACTGGGATGGAGCTCAGGCCTCAGGCCCTGTGCATGCGTGCCAAGTGCTCATCACTGAGCTACAGCCCAGCCCTTTTTATTTTTATTTTGAGACAAGGTCTCACTGGTTGCCCAGGCAAATAACCTCTATCCATTTGGTACAGGGTCTTGCTACACAGCTTGGACTCATAGCAATCCTCCTGCCTCAGCCTCCCCAGTGCTGGGATTGCAGGCCTGAAACACCATGCCCAGTTTCAAGGTCCTCATAGCCTGTGATACCAGGGATCAAACTTGGGTCCTTGCACTTGCCAGGCAGATGCTTAGACCGCCAAGCTATCTCCCCCAAGCCCTGGGGTTGAACTTGTGATCCCCCTGCTGTTGCTGATTCCTGTGGCTCTCTACAGTGTGTGTGTGTGTAGTCACTGTGTGCAGTGTGAGTGTGTGCCACACATACGTGTGAGGGCGATGCAGACAGGGACAGCATGTGTGCTCTTGCTGCACGCCCAGCTCCAGGACTGCTGCTGCTGCCCAGGCTGGTGCGGATTGCTCATGGAACCTTCTGGCACCCCCTTGCTGTGCCTTCACAGCGGTGGCAGTGCACACGCCTGGGCTTCCTGCCTGTCTCTCAGAACAGATGACAGCCAGTCCTGCTCAGCATTATGTCTCTATGTCTTTAGGTGGCACAAGGCCTGCCTGGCACTAGACCCGCCAATATTTCAAGAACGCACCAGAAGTGGTGGTGCATACCTGGCATCCCAGTCCTCTGAGAGGCTGAGGCAGGAGGATTGCTATGAGTTTGAGGCCAGCTTGGGCTACACAGTGAGTTAGTGAACTACATAGTGAGATCCTGCCTCAAAGAAAAAAAAAGGTAAGAGAACTTTAATCTCCTCCCCAGGAGCAGCTTTAGTCAGGGATGAGACAGGCTGAGGCAGACGGCCGGTGATGTCACAAGGGTGGTGTGGATGGAAGATTCCAGAAGGTTGACTGAGTAGAAGATCTATTGAGGAGGGAAACCATCCACCTTCCCGCCTTCCATCACCATCACTCAGGCCCTACCCAGAGGGTGACCAGGGCCTGGAGGGGACGGAGTACACTCAGACTTCTAGAAGAGTCACGGTCAGTCATCTTTGCAGAAGGAACCTGCCCAGGAGGCCAAATGTCTCTGCTGCCTTGTGAAGACAGGGCCCAGGTAGGGTGATACAGCTGGGGAACAAGCGGGTCCGTGTGAGGCTTTCAGAACAGAACTTGGCCCTTAGGGAAGACCTGTGTGGGTGCTGCTTTTTTTTTTTACTTTAACCCTAATTATATATGTGTTTAAAATTTTTTTTGTGGTACCAAGGGCTTTCACACTGAGCTCCATCCCTAGCTCTTTATTTATTTTTAAAATTTGAGACAGGGTCTCTCTAAGTTGCTAAGTTGCCCTGGGTATATTCAATTTAGGATCCTTCTGCCTCAGCTTTCTGAATAGCTTTATCTCCTAAACAACATGATAAATTGGTGTTTTAATACAAGATCTGTCTGTGTACTCCAGGCAGGATTTGAACTATGTTGCCCAAGTTGGCCTGGATCTCACAGTGACCCTCCTGCCTCAGCCTCTCGACTGCTGGGATGACAGGAAGGCTGAGGCAGGAGGATCACCTTGAGTTATATAGTGAGTTCAAGGCCAGTCTGAGGTATCTAACAGGACACTGTCTCAATCAACCAAAGTTAGGTAATAAATCAAGCCTCTGGCAGGATGTACATCGGGTGTATTAAAGCTCTGTATCATTTATATGAGGAACTTAAATATCTTAAGATCTTGGTGTCTGAGGGGCCAGAGGGACCCATCCCTCCTGATAAACACCAAAGAATGTTTATATTATCTTTTCTTATGCCAGGTAGATTGAACTCAGAAACTTTGTACTGAGCTCTATTCCCAGCTTTTTAAATTCTCTTTTTAAAGACATGATCTTGATAAGTTAAGTAGGTTTGATTTGAACTTGAAATCCTCCTGTCTCAGCCTCCCAGGAATCTGGGAGGATATCATTTGGACAAGTAGACTAGAACAGCTAAATGTGGTCCAGTGACAGTTTCTTTTCCTTGAGAGACTTCATAATGGTTTCCCAACCGTAGGATTACCTATGGACCTGGTCCCTATAGCCTAATAATTTGAAAATCTCAATGGGTGTGGTGACACAGGCTTAGAACGCTAGGAAGCTAAAGCAGGAGGATCACAAGTCTGCGCCAAGCTTGGGCTGCTTACAGAGACCTTGTGTCAAAAAAGTGCCAAGGATCTAGATCAGCGCTAAGGTCCTGAGTTCAGCTTCCCCAGTATTTCAAAGAAAACCAGTCAAGCAAAAAAACAGAATCGGGCTAGGGAGATAGCTTGGTGGCCTAAGCGCCTGCCTGGCAAGCACAAGGACCTGGGTTCCATCCCTGGTACCACATGCTGTGCTGGCCCCAGAGCCCCAGGCGCACCATGGGGGCACGTGCACACCAAAACCAGGTGCACACCTGTAATCCCAGCATCAGGGAGGCTGAGACAGGAGAATCACTGTAAGTATGATCTGCATAGCAAGACGCTGTACCAAATAATAAATAAATAGAAAGACATTTTTTTAAAAAGCAGAATCTCTTTAGAAACACAGATTAAACCCTCTATGCTTTACAAATCCTCTGGGCTGTGGCACACACCCCACTCTCTTCTCCTGAGTTCCAAACAGGCATGACTAATCAATTCTAGGACTCTGGGCAGGCAGATCAGCCAATAGGGGTTGGTCCATCTTTGTTAAGTTCCGCATTTGATTTCCCCCACAGAACTGCGAAGTATGATCGCTGAGAACCTAGAAGCGCTGAAACCCCAATGTCTCAGGAAAAGAGAGCTAGAAGCCATGAAGTAAACATGAGTGAAACTGAAGGTGCGTTGCCGCAGGCAGCATGGGGAGGGGAACATGGATGCCAGAAGGGACCTGCCACTTTCTGCCTGAGCCTTCTGACCATGTTGGGGACATGGTGGAATCCTACAGAACATGGGCACTGGGCAGCGTCTAGCTGGGCCAGATCATTCAGAAGTGGCATCAGTGACATTAGCAAGAGGTATTTTCTCCCCTTGGTTTTTTGAAATAAGAGTCTCACTGTGTAACCCAGGATGGCCTTGAACGTGGGGTGATCCTCCTGCCTCAGCCTCTCAGAGTGATTCAGACACGTGCCACTTGGCCTGGCCATTTGGGGTCATTCTGTGATGAGCACTGCATAGCCATAACTAAACTCAAGAGCACCATGTGGTCCCCAAGAGTTCCACTGAGTCACAGCTTCCGGGTCAAAGCAGAGCAACGTTAGTGAGAACCCCACGGACTGGAGCCACAGTTTTCCAGATAAGGGTTGCTCTTATCGCGTCACCTGCTGGAGGCCTGATGTTCAAGACCAAGGTGTTGGCAGGGCTGGCTCCCGTCCAGACCTCAGAGGGAGAACCCGGCACAGGCCACAGTCCCAGCTCCTGCTGGCCACCCCAAACCATTACTTAGTTTCAAAATTTTGGCACCGCATCTCACTAGGTTGCCTAGACTGGGCTCCGATTTGCAATCCTCCTGCTTCAGCCCCCCCGAGTGCTGGGATGACAGGCGTGCACCACCGTACCTGCTGTCTCTTTTCATGTTTGAGTGAGTTCAAAGTCATCCTGAGCTACACAGTCAGTTCAGAGCCGGCCTAAACCACAAAGCAAGATCTTGCTTTTTTTTTTTTTTCACATCTCTGTAAAGACAGGTTGTGCTTCCCTAAGCTCCAACTCCAAAATCTAAGCATCTGAAGTCCAAAGTGACATCCCATCACAGTTGGAAGATTCCTGGTCACATGGGACAGTCACAGTCAAAAGGCCGCTGAACTATTGGAGTGTGTAGATGGCATCTACAGTGACATGAATGCATTCTGTGTTCAGGACAGATCCCAATCCCAAGATTGCTTGTTGGGCTGGGGAGATGGCTCAGTAGGATAAGCGCTTGACTGGCAAACGCAAGGGTCTGAGTTCAATCCCCTGTTCTGCCAAAAAAAAAAAAAAAAGAACCCATCTCAAAAGCAGGAAAAAAAATGGGAGAGGGGGGTGCCCAGGAGAGGCTCAGTAGAATAAGTGCTTGCTGGGTAAGTGCAAGGACCTGAGTTCAATCCCCGGTTCCACAAAAAAAAAAAAAAAAAAAAAAGACTACCAAGATAGCTTGTCGTGGGCTGTGTAGTGCTGGGGATCGAACCCTAGTCCCTGTGATTGCCTCAGCCAGTGCTTAGTCCACTGAACCATCTTGCCGGCCCCTCCTTTTTTTTTTTTTTTTTTTT